CCTCTGATAGTGATATCTGCTATGAATGCATAGAGGCTTTAATGGATCTGATATCAGCCCAGTCATCCTATATTTCTCTTGATGCCCATGTTCTCACTTTTTGGCAACACCCAAACTCTGTTGTTCTCCTGTACCTTTGTGTCACCAATCAGGATGATATTTTCAGCCTAATGAGTGATGTTCTTTATCAGCAATCTACTTGGAGAACTTCTAAGCTTGTTATTGGACTTACTCTGTCAAAAACAGGATTCGTGGGCCAAGTGGTGCTTGGTTGGCTTGACAAAGTGTGTGTGGACTCTGATGTTCTAGTGTGTTGGCTTCTTCTGACTCATTACCACCACTGATAAAATTTGAATAGCTCACAGTTCATTTTGCACATGCAGATAGAATGTGTACAGACTCCTCATTAGAGGTGTATGACCTTACCAACCCCCTCAATGCTCTGAAATTTGCATAATTTATCATCAGCCTTCATGCACATGTCAAGAGAATCATTGGCCAATGCAGAACTCTGATATTCAAACAACTTGCATAGCAATCAGATACTATCAATAATGACAGCTCTGGCCATGAAGAACAATAGAAACAAAGAATTGTTTGTTGGCTAAATACAGTTGAAAGACAGTCGGTATTTCTTCATCTGGTCTTGCCCTTTTCTCTTATCTATTTAACAGTGACATGAACTAAAAAGGATATTCCAATCATTCATCACCTAACTACTATTCATTTGCTGTGGATGACTCTGAGCAATGTATTACATGATCTTCTTCTAAGGCCAGATCTGCACACTATCTGAGGCACTTGATATCTGCAGATAGTAAACATGAACCTTCTCTAGTGAAGCCTGCTCTATTTTTACTCAATGTCAATCTCATGTATGCCTGTGAATATTCTCAGGGAGCTATATGTTTATAGACCCTGTTGAATGGAGTGTCTGCTCAGCCCGATGAATATAGATAACAAGAGTGAGGATCAACAGTTTCTCTAGAATTCCTTCTAACTGTTTTTCAGAAGGAGAATAGATGGTGGGTCTTCTGATAATGCAAAGACTGATAAACACTCAAAGAGTGCAGATGCATTATCTTATTCAGTGCATGTCTTTCATTTTAACTATTTTCCAACTATCATGCTGATGCTGGATGGCTAGGTTGAGTGCAAAGTCCTTGGCTGAGATATCCAATTCTGTGAAGCTCTCATTTTCTAGTTATGCACATGATCACTATATTACAGAGTTTGACCAATGTACAGCTTGACATAAATGGCTCAGAACTAAAAAAAATAGAAGATGACCACACTCAAGATCAATGAGATGCTCAAATTTTACAATAAAATGACAGAATATATGAAGCCATCTATTACTGAGGTCAGTGTGTCTAATGGCTACTGACTATCTGAATCACTAAACTATCCTAACACAAATCGCCTATTGTTGACAAACAAGTTGAGGATATGCAAACACAGTTTTTCAAACAAGCAAATACATGCTCTGATGGCAAGAATACTCTTAAGCTCCCTCAAGACTTATAAGGTGTCATTTCTGGGTGTTTCTCGTCTCTTTTGTGGGCATCAGTTGGTGGATATACTAAGCAGTAAATCTCACAATGAAGTTGAAGCCTGCTATGAGTGGGATGTTCTTCTCAATCTTGGCTTTATGGACACTCAAGAGCTAGCCTCTGAAAGAATAGTATAAGTTCTTTCGAGAAATGACTGTGTATTCTGTATTCATTAGTATTCCAGTTTAGAAAGAGTGCTGTTGCTGTTTCATAATGTCACTGCAGATTTGGCAAAATTATCTGCTCAGTTCAACAGCAGACAATTCTAAGATATTGCAGAGCAATCATATGATATTATTCTATCTGTTCAATGACTGTTGCATGACAGTCCCATTTCTTCTCCAGAGGGCAAGCTCCTCTATCAGACTTTGCATGTTTCTCATGCAGCTGGATTCTATAGATTTGCTGTCTCAGATCTCTTTGCTAATCCAGAAGCAGTAAAAACTGCTATTTTAAAGTATGCTGGTGATGAACCAGAATTTGGCATTGTCAATGTGATCCTTGCAATACTACTGGACCACATCTGAAAAACATCAGAACCACTTGTTTATATTATAGAAACCTGCAAAACTGTCAATGCTGCTCAGACACTCAATCCAGATAATATTGTTGAGCCTGATGGTGTTGTGAAATCTGATGAGCCATCCTCTAAGGCAGAAAGAGTCACAGTAAAAAATCTAGTGTATCTGAATCTCCTTCAGGATGAATGAAGTTGATGTCTGCTCGAATGGTTGTAATTGATGAGAAGCAGAAAGTAGCTACTCAAGAATGTCTCAGTGACGAGGCAAAGAGGGCCAATAACAAGAAAAGCAACATACTGAAGATGAATATGGAAGATCTAACACATCCATTTGTGGTGACATGCTCAGAGATGAAATGAGCATCCAAGATGATTTTCTGGCCTGAAGCAGTGATGAACATCAAAGAGCTCCTCATGAAAATTCTGTTGGCTATTCTACTCATCAAGTATAAGAAGCTCACTCAGACTTATGCAAAGGCCATTCTGCAGGCCAAAATATATTTAAAAGCTTCAGTTAGGTATCTGGCAAGTCTGAAAGTCACCAAACAAGGTGTTTTTGTCTTAGCTACAGATGATGTTGAAGGAGCTGTGCTCATGGCTTGGTGTTCAAGAGATTCTAAGACAAGTTCTTTTCTCTGGCTCAATACTATACCTGTATTCATCTCATTTTACTAGACTGTCCATATCATCAAACCCAATGTGCAGACTCTCATTTTGAAGAACAAACACTGAAATAAGACAATGCTCATAGATAGGCTAATAGAAGGAAAAAGAGAGATGCAGAGAAAGATTAATAGAGAGTCTGATATGATGGATTTTGAGAATGCACATGTGAGCCTCTTGTTTTTAATGTTTCTCTCATGTAGCTTATCAATTGTTATAGTTCTGGTATACTCTGTAAGGGTAGGATGTGTAGGTTACTATTGAAGCTCAGGCTAGACAACTGGTCAGAGACCTAGACATAGTTTGCTCTTACCCCCATGTTTTATCTTTGCTGCATACTGACATCTCAGTAGAACTGGAATTTAGGGGTTGTGCTATTTGACAGTAAGAAAATTCATGCTAGAAACCACTTTGACAAATGCATGTCTGGATGACTATATGGGCCTCATTTCCCTCTTTTTTGTCTAAGGCTATATCATTCATCAGGTGTTTTTATGAGTGGCATTGAAGCAACAATAGCGACCATGGGACTATCTTTCTGTCCAATTTTAAGGGATACTAGAGAAAGACATACCACTCCAAGTGAAGTTTGGATGCTTGATAGCAATTTTAATACTAGCTGATACTTAATCTCTCTAGTATGATATGAATTTTCCTAATGTTTTTGTCTTTTCTTATCTGATGCAGATATCATCATCCAAAGCTTATTGGTATTTGAGAATAACATGAACATTAGCTGCTCTTGTGCTTGCTGGAAAATATTCTGCTAAACCTCTGAGAAGTTGGGAGAGGCACTGCTAAATCAGTAGATGTAGCTTCATCACATTTTATATATTGTCACTCATTATCAAATTAGTCTGTTCCTTCAATCAATCATTCAGGGCCAGAGATACAAATGGTCATTTTATGGAGAATCAATTCTTGCAGATAAGAATCTTCACTACTTTCTGTTCTCTTCATCACTCATAGCTATGTAGGGCTCCTCATACCATGCCAGACATGAAGGTCTTGCAATTTATCTGAGTTTAAGCCTTGTCACTAGGTAACAATTCTTCTTCATTATCTGTTTTTCTAGAAATTTCATCCTATCCTTTTGATACAGCCTGTGCTGAGGGTGCCCTTGATACAGATTTTGATCATGTTCATGCTAGCTGGACCAGTATGATGCCTTCTGCTATGCTGCACTTGTGCTAGTGTGGAATTGGTTTCTAATATCCTGAATGCTTCAATGGTAGACAAATGTGCAACCAGGTATCAAGAAAATAAAAAAGTAACTTAGGTGTACTTCAAGCTGAGTGAGAAGAAGGAAAGTCCAAGTGTTGTTTTCACATTGATGGCTGCATTCTGGCATGTTCCAAAATGCAATATCAAAAGTTAGAGAAGTGAGTTGCTACAGCTCTTATGACTCTTTTTTTCAAAGTATGTGTCAATTTGGTGGTTGTCTCTCAAGTTAGCACTGTCATGTTTATTCACTCATCCCACATTTGGCTTTTATCCAAATGCTGGTACTTTGCAGGAGCCTGTCCATATCTATTTGAAATTCTTTATTACTTCCATATCCTCTCTCTAATGGCACTTGGCACTCAAAAGAGCATCATATTCACTGCACTCTTCACAGGTGCTATCACTAGCTTAGCTCTCTTTATCGTACTCATCACTCTGCTCTTTTTCTCTAATCTGACTATAATATTGCTGGATTTTAAAAAATTGTCATCAACCTATATTCTCAACAACCTCCCACCACAAGCAATCTTCCTCATTTGTCTTATCATCAATGATGCAGTATATCAATGCATGGCAGAAATATCGGTATTGAAAGAAGAATCAGTGAGAATCGAGATGCTGATGGTGCAGTTAGAGGTATATATAAAATACATTGGAGTTCCTCTTGCTGGATCTATTGGGTTTATGGCTTATTCTATTAGAAGAGAGGAGGCCAAAGATATGGAGAGTGACCATGAGAAGATGTTAGATAGCCTTTCTGTTTTGGCTCTTTATAATGAGATGCTGATCTGTTCTTCAGTGCAGGTTGCAGAAGCAGAGATTTAGTGAATCATGACACTGATTAAGCATTATGATCTCCTCTTTAGATTGGCTGTTTGCAAAAGCCTACAATATATGGTTTTTGATAATATCCACCTCTTAATAACATATATGTTTCTTATCCAGCAATATTGATTTTTAGATCTGTCTACTTGTACAACAAATGAATATAATATCACCAATACATTCAAATCACTCCCGAGTACTTGTATAAGATTCCCTTAGAGGCCAACATTGATGGAAATGCAGCCCAGGGCAACAATGCCATTCTGTTCATGGATAAATATGCATATAATCATTTCTGAGATTAAGTTACTCACGAAGCTGTTGTTTTCATAGCAGACAGCTTGGTTGGAGCAGTTGGTGTCACCAACACCAATGACAGTAATGAGATTGCAGATAAGACCACTGTGATGAATATACTCAGCAAAACAGAAGACATGATTTAGTATGTGAAAACCTACATATTACCGGTGACACTGCCAAAGATGATCTCAAGGAGACCCAAAAGGGTCTGAACAATGCTGAAGGAGGGCTATAACAATTGTTCATTCAGCTTTCAACAGTGAGCAGTAGATAGAGACTCAACTCACACTTTAGACAGAATTGCAGCACACTGCAGTACCAGAAGCACAAGTGTCTTGCTGAGGAAAGATGGTGGTAGTTGCAAAGAGAGGCAAAGCCAGAAGAGTAAAAGCAGAGAGACAAGCAAACATTATGAAATTGAGATTAAACTGTACAACTGTGAGAGCTGTTCAACTTGGTCATACCTAGCAAACTCACATCTCTTTTATAGATTTTTGTCCTCTCTGTTATCCCTATATACAATAGTCATCTAGTCAAATAATAATAGTTCATTCTGACTGGCAATGTGTATATTTGATGGATGAGAAATATCAGAATAGAATTCATGATGTGGCACTGGATAGAAGCAAGTATCAGTCAGTACCATACCTTTTCACAGTACTTGGCTACTGTATTATGGTCAGGCATTGATATGAATCACATCTCAGATAGGTTTTCTAAGAAATAGTGCAATCAAATGAACCAGCACTGCACTCTCATTTGGATACATACAAAATCTCTCCTCTGTTGCCCTAAACACCATGATAAAACTGCTGGTCACATACACTCATTTATTTTTATTTTAACAGCATATTTTTACCAAGCCTTTCAAAGCTCAGTAAAAGAAAGATGTCAGTGAACAAAATCATGATTTCTTGATCTGCCTAAGCCTCATCTATCCACTTGAATTAATATAACATAAAAAAGAGTTGATTTTCCTCTGACAGCCTAGATTTCTGACTCATAAACAGCAACACAGAAAAGATCCATATGCGAAACTTATCACCAGGTATCAGATGCCCTTCTGGCCTAGTCACAAGCTGCATTTTCTTGATGAGAGTTGACACATGAAAAAGAGTTATACTACTTTACCTAACAAATGCAGAATACAATGAACTCCTTTAAGAGTTGAGCAGAAGGATTCATAGCATTTAGGCTGACAGGATACATTGCTATACATTTAGTATTACACATAAAAACAATCAAGATGGTAAAGTGCTTTCCAATCCTTGTTAGCTAGATTGAAGCATCTGCCAAGCTGGATCCTAAAAAGGATGGTATGAGAAGGCTCACTGTAGAGATATAGCAATATTTAGTCTCTGTAGAAAGAGAACATAATCAAATGGAGAGATATAATCATCCAGAGCAGGCAGCTCCACCTGTCAAATACCTGAAACACTACCATAGGACAGACTCAGGCTCAAGCTCTATACAGGAACAAAAGAAAATGTTGATGGTCATATGGGCATATGTAGTGTTCTGCAAGAAGCTGCAGATATATCTTAAAATAAAATGGCATTCAAGTGAACCCAGTATTGGTGATGATTTCACAACTTTGTCCTAGTATAGTTAGTTAGAAATGAAACTGACATTTGTTATGACAAGAATGGCATCTGGCACTATATGAGCATGGGCACCTGAGGGTAGAATCCTTGACCAGAGTGAAATGAAAGAATCCCAATATTATCTGTATCCACTGTTGTGTCTCAGAAAAACACATTTCAGCAAGGATGAAGAAAAAAGCAAAAGAGATTAATTGATAGAAATGCATACAATATGGATAATTGCCCATGAAAAACAGCATGGTGAGCATACCAATCTTTCTCCAAAAATATTCACTTTTACATTCCCTTCAGTGATCTATCTAGAAAATACATCAATATATGGTAGAAAGACAGAAGGGAAATGAAGAGACTTGCCTCATTTTCTGGGGCTCTCTTCACTTGTATATTCTCCAGAATCATGTAAGTCTGACAAACCCCCATACTAGCAGTAAAAACAGTTAAAAGATCCTCTTGAGTGATCTAAATATCTTCTATCCAGAATCCTGGTGTTGCCTGTCAAACAAAGTGATGACTAAGATACCAATGAATACACACAGTAAAGCAGCTCTGATGGACATCAAATGTCTGTTTCCAGCAGCTTGTGTGGAAAAGCTGTATACTTTGGCAGATATCATCAGCCTTGTTTCAGTATTTATACTGCAAGCCTGTTCTATAAATCAGTAATTCTATTTTAAAACAATAGTATGAGATACAAGAAAATAGACCTGAAACTGGACAATCCTATGCACATGCAGAAGGGATCCTCTCTGCAATCCAGAGAAAGAAGTCACACACAGCAGACAGCACCATTTGGTGTTGCAGGGCATTGAGATAGTGAAAGAAGACACAGTTGCTCTGTATCCTTAATTTATTTAGTGAGTATTTTGATGGCCAAGTCCAAATTGGTTGACCTAAGACTGCTCATCAATGAGAACTGCAGTCATTGGTCAGATGAGAGAGAGAGTGAGCATATTAATTAAAGTTAACTAAATGCACAATAGAGCCATACTGAAAAGAGATTAATGCCTATCATTATTGGAGTGGTATGGCATCTCCTACCAGGAGAGAAAGCTCTCAGGCCATCATTTAAGCCCATCATGCTGAAGCCTGCTTCTTGTGCTGCTGATGCAGATATATTAATAAACATTGCAAGCACTGTATCAAATCTGCTCCTTGAAGGTGTCATTGTGAGGCTGAGAAATTGTCTTCTGAGTAGCATAGACAAATGTCAGCAGAAATTCAAGCAAGGAATATAGTGACACACCACAGTTTTCAATGATATAAAGAGACTGTATATATCAAGAGCTATTCCTTTATTTAATTCAAAGAACAGTGATTGAGCATCAGCTCCTAGCATATCCTTCTTCTTCAAGTGCAGCAGTTTTTCCCTCACTCACTTTTTAGAGTATGAACTGAAGTCTATACTATATAGTCTGAATGCAACTTGCAGAGGACGAAACGATAATATTTCTGAATGAGCAAGAGCTTGGTCAAGGCTAGACTATTGCACTATCCAGTCTTCATCTTCTCAGTTTGCATATTCTCTGTCATGGTTATATGAGGGTATGATTGCAATGACAGCATCTCCAGCCTAACAAAATCTGTGATGCCCAAGAGAGAATATACCAACCACCTCATAACCCTGATATGCTAATCACAGTATAGATCACATTTCATCTTGACATGGAGAGTTGACATAGTCAAAGAGAGTGTCTCAGAGTGTATTGATGGAAGAATACAAGTAATGTTCTACCAATGAGGATAAGTGATATAGTAATAGACACAGTAATAGTATACAAACCTCAGTCAGGCACAGTGTAGGTAAAATGACTGAGGTATATAGGTATCTATGATCAGGCTATATAAGCAGTTGAGTAGCAACAGAAGTTGTGTACATATATAGTAAGTAGAAATGAGTGATAATCAAAAAGAGAGAGTAAGAGTATATATATGGATATCTTCCAACAGGATGAGCTTGTTAGATCCAAGCATCATGTGAACAGAAACATGTGATAAACAGAAGCTGCCTCACACTTTAGGCAGTTGTCTGAGTTCACTGCTGCACTTCTTGATCAGTGTGTCACAAGACCAAAGAGAATCAGCTCAAGAGTAGAATGGTGTGAATAAACTTTAGCTCAAAGCTGGAGATTCCTAGCAAGAGTGAGCAGTCTTAAATACTGTACAAGATCTGCTAATAATACTACAGCTAATTATATATTTCTGAGTTTGTTGTGCTCATTGTCCTAGAGTATTGTTATCATACATAAAAGGCTGATTGTATATTGTTGGGCAATGCTGTTGCATCAAGAGACAATAACAGACTCAGCTAGTTGTGATGACTAAGCTTTGTCTCATGGTCTCAAGTGCTTATTCTGGCACCCTGACTAAGTATAAATAGGGGTTAAATTGAGGAAAGGAATGGAAAAATCATAACATTACCCCCTCTTTAAGACTATTATCTTGATGGCTTAATTTAGGGATAATTTGTAGTCCTGTATGGCATCATCAGTATACATTGATTTTTCATTCACCCGCTGGTTGGACTCTGAGCCATAGCCCTTCCAACTGACTAGATAGTCAATGGTAATTATTATACTGCCCCCTTTTCACTCTAATTTTTCATAGTTTGTGGTTTAGAACTTGATTGACTTCATAGTGTTCTTTGTTGTCAATGAGATTAGGGGGTGGAGATGGTGGTCATTCCTGATTTAGAAATGCTGATGCAATATATGAAGTCAATAATGTTTTGTTAAAGACATCATGGATTTTCCAGAAATTTAGTAGTTTAAGTTTATAAGTGCTAGCTCTGATCTTGGATAATATAGGAAATGAGCCAGTGCACTTATTGGCCAGTTTGCACTTTAGATGTGAAAGGTGGAGATTGGAGGTGTCAAGCCAGACTCAATCACTATTGGAGTATATGTGCACAGCATAATAGTGTTTGGCATATTATCATGTCATTGCAGCTGCTGCTTATTCTAGAGCAGTTTTAGTTTTAGAGTAGATCTTTAACATGGTAGTGGCAAAGTCCATGGATGCAGGGGTTGTGGTGTGGTGTTGTTCAGTCTGGGTGATGTTTGAGTGTCAGCTATAGTTGACAAAAAATGGTGTTTTCCCTATTGTGGAGTGTATCCAGTTGTTATATTGAAAGGTGGCTAGAGTCAGCCATTCTATCCAGTCATCCTGTCAGTGGTTTATGAAGAGACAGAGATACTTTTCTACCTCTTGATTTGCTTGTTCTGTTTGCCCATCAGTTTGGGGGTGATATGCAGTTGATGTGTTTCTTTTGATGTTTAGAAGATGATAGAGATTGTCTAAAAATTTTGAAATGAATTGAGGCCCTCTGTCTGAGATCACTACTTGTGGCATATCATACTTGGCATAGACCTCATCATGTAAGATTTTTGCTCACTCTTCAGAAGACAACTCCATTGAGCAGATGATCAGAATAATCACCTTCAAGAATCAGTCGACTATGACAATAATTGTATTGTAGCCATTACAATCTGAGAGTCCAGTGATCATGTTGATGGAGATATGAGTCTATAGTGATAATGGGATCTTATTCAGGTGAAGCAGTGTGGCTCAAGGCTGTGTTGATGATTTCCCTCACTGGTAGACTTTATATGCCTTAATGTATGCAATGATGTTATTGCCTATTTTAGGCTATCAGTATTCTTATAATACTAGCTCCTTGGTTTTGGCAATGCTGGGGTGGCCAGTGGTAGCATAATCATGACAGATGGCAATGATTTTACCATATAATTCTTGATCTTGGAGAATATAGATTCACCCATCATAGTGAATTAGTCCCCCTTCCTTTGTCA